TGAGAGCATTTGCACCAAGACAAATTCCTTGTGTGTCCAATCACACTTGGCCAATAAAGAATTCTATATTGTCTAAAACAATTAGCCCGTTCAGGATTCACTCCGAAATAATTTATTAAAGTTAGACGCCAACCAATTCTCCACGATTCCGAGTGGCTCAGAACAGTCAAAGAAACGACAATAAAAACACAAGGAATCAGCAAGCCGAAAAGAAACCGAGGATGAATGAATAATTCATATTTCTGCTTGCTAGTAGCAAAGTGGGCTGTTAAATATTACAAAGGAGCTCATTTCAGATTTTCCTTCTCCTGCAGATTCATTTCCTGAGAACCTACACTCTTAATCTCATCTTCTTCATTCATCTAGCAGGATAATATGATTAGCTTTTAAAGCCGTTGCAAGGATTAAAGACAACACTTGTGAATTCTTTAAAAGCTGATAAATAATCATTAGAAAGCAGGCCAAGCAGACAAGAAGAAAGGTTAGAGGGTGAATATATACACCAGGAAAAGTGAAGATCTTAAAAGTCCAAAGTTACCAGAGGAAAGATAATCAAGGAAATTAACACTGGAGCAAATCCAGTTATTAGATTCACTGCTGGAATAGTAGACTGGACTAAAGGCAGAACTGAAAACTTTGAATTAAAAAAAACCCAGAAAAATAATGACAATAAATCATGCCGTTCATCCACGCAGAAATGTTGACAGACTATATTTACCAAAGAAAATGGGTGGGCGAGGAATATTGCAAGTACAGGAGGAGGAGGAGGAGGAGGAGGAGGAATAACAATAATAACAATAACAACATCAATAACAACAACAACAATAATAATAATAATAATAATAATAATAATAATAATAATAATAATAATAATAATAATAATAATGGTGGTAGAGGAGAAGGAGAAGAAGGAGAAGAAGAAAGATGGAGGAAGAGAAGGAAGAAGAAAAAGGGAGAAGAAGGAAAAGGAGGAAAAGCAGAAGCAGAAGAAGAAGGAGACATTGGAAGAATATATGGACAGTGAAGATGCACCAAAACTGAGGTCCTCAAGTTACGACCACAACTGAGCCCAAAGTTGATGTCGCTAAACGAAACATTTGTTAAGCCGCCTTGCCCCATTGTACAACGTTTCTTGCCACTGTTGCTAAGGAAATCGTTGTATTGGTTAAATCAGTGTTTGGATTTTCCCATCGACTTCCATTCCCAGATTTTCCCGTTCAGTGTTAAGTTGGGAATTCTGGGAATTGAAGTCCACAAGCCTTCAAAAGTGGCCCAAATTGGACACCCGTGTTTGGATTATGGGGACACTAAAAGCCAAACGATAATAGTTGTTTGTCTTTTAGTGACCCCCTAATCCCGTAGGAGGGGGGGGGGGGGGGGGAGAGAGGGGGGGTCAATTGAATGGAGGGGAGTGTTTATCGGCCGGATGCCCTTCCCGTCACCAATGCAGGGTTCACAGCAGATAATTCCATACCCTGATTCCCCTTCCCTCTGCCAGGAGGCCGCTGAGAAGCAAGCAAATAAAATATTTATATTATTCCCTCCCACTTCATTCTGCGACAAAGAGATGTCAAAATAGATAGATAAGGAGCGAGTTATCTGGGCCGTGAAAAGCTATTTTTATTTTCTTATGCTGCATGACAACCCGATAATGACTTTTTAATTAAAAGCCATTTCTGCTAATCCACCAAGGAGATACTGTAAACAGCGTTTAAGGCGCCAGAACAAAACCACTCGGCTTGTTCCGTGGGGACATACGGCGGAGATACGCAAGTGTGGATAACACACTGAGAGTCACACTCTGTTAACAAGCATACAAAAAGGCTAGGGGTAGATCAGAAAATGAAATGGGGGGGGGGGTTTAAAAAAAATTAGGGGTGTTTATGCAATGTTGGAATTTAAGGTTGCAATGTGGTGTCTCCCAAGAGGCTTACATATCAGAATTATCTTTTCGTTTAGTTTAGTTTCTTGTCATATTGCACCCCGTACAATCAAATCAAACACCATCTTCAGTGCACATCATGACCATGAAAATAAACACAAACACACATCCTTCACTCTCCACACATTGAATTGAAAAACCCCTCATATTGCATTCATATCTCACTATATACAGTAGAATTCAGTATAGCTCCTGCCCTGGGATAGCAGCTGATTCTCAGCCTATTTGTCCTTGATTTTATTATTATCCTGTACCGGCTGCCAGATGGTAATAGTAGTGAATAAGATCGTTATTGAACTCAATTAGTTTACAGAATCTGGTTAACCAATAATAAAGATATTGTTATCGTAGCTCTCTTTTGGAAGTGCAAGATGGGCAGCAAATAAATTCAATGATAACCAAGGGTGGGATTCTACCAGTTCGCACCTATTCGCTAGAACTGGTTGTTAACATTCTAAGCAGTCAGGAGAACCGGTTGTTAGAAGAAATTACAGGGCTAATCCTGTAAGGAAGGCAGGAAGGAAACATTCTGGTGTTGCTTACAGAAACTGCCTCTCCGTTAACCCTTATTACATTCTTGGCAGGACTAGACTTCCTGTCTCAGGAACTTCTCTGGAGTCTTTTTCCCCTCCTTTGCTGGTACTTTGCTGGTGTGGAGTGACCGTTCAAAATTACAATGGCACTGAAAAAAGTGACTTATGACCGTTTTTCACACTTACGACTGTTGCAGCATCCCCACAGTCCTGAGAGGCCAGGCGAGGAGATGCGTGCCTCGATGTGAGTGATGTTGAGTTGGCCACGCCCAGCCAATAGCATGACCACCAAGCCATGTCCACCCAATCACATGCCCCCCCAAGCCACACCTACTACCTAAGCCACGCCCACAGAACCGGTTGTTAAAAATTTTGACTCTCACCCCTGATGATAACAATAACAATAATAAAGGGATGATGATTCTAACACTGTCAAACATTCCCAGCGGCCCTTCCCGGATCCTTGGGAAGGGCTTGACAGGTGAATCAAAATGCCAAACCCAGTGTAAACATCTGGCTGACTGTGCAAAGACCCATAATAATAAGAAAGCAAAGGAAGCACCCATAGGGACGCGCGCCAACACCCATAACGCAATGCACACAGGGCCCCCACGCCCCCTTGCGCATGTGTGCATGGCCTCCTGCGCGCGCCCCCCACCGGGCGCCCCATGCCTTTCTGCGCATGCGCATGAGTCTTCCTCACGCGCCCCACCCCCTGCACATGACGATCAGCTGGAGGGCGGGGGGCAGGCACGCATGCGCAGTAGACCAGCTCTGGGGCTACGGCTTGCGTGCCGGCGAAGATGGCTCGTCGTGCCACTTCCGGCACGCAGGCCGTAGGTTCGCCATCACGGGAATAGATTTTTTATATGTTTTAGCGTCCAGGCCCCTAATCATCTTTGTTGCTCTTCTCTACACTTTTCTCTACATTAAATTTCATTTTGTTAGATATGGCCCATTGTTCTGCCAAGATCCAACTGGATCTTGAGTCTTATTTTCTGGAGTGTTGGCTATTATATATATATGAGTTTGGATGCATCTCTTAAACCTGGTTTTTGTGTTATTGTGTGAACCTGGAATGCTGACGGAGAACTGCAGGCCTTAAAAATAGAATAGAATAACAGAGATGGAAGGGACCTTGGAGGTCTTCTAGTCCAACCCCCCTGCTTAGGCAGTTAACCCTACACCACTTCAGACAAATGGCTGTCCAATCTCTTCTTAAAAACTTCCAGTGATGGAGCATTCACAACTTCTGGTGGCAAGCTGTTCCACCGGTTAATTGTTCCGTCATGAAATTTCTCCTTAGTTCTAATTTCCTTCTCTCCTTGACGAGTTTCCATCCTTTGCTTCTTGTCCTGCCTTCAGGTGGAACGCCGTTCCCTTCCCCACCAAAGATGGTTCTCCTATTTTTCTACTTGCCTTTTTTTAACCTGCTTTCGAACTGCTAGGTTGGCAGAAGCTGGGACAAGCAACGGGAGCTCGCTCCGTGACGGGGCGCTGAGGGTTCGAACGGCCGAACCGCCGACCTTTTCTGACCCACAAGCTCAGCGTCTTCTGCACTGAGCCACCGCGTCCCTTAGCTGTATCGCGCTAAATCCCTCCAATTTGTTGTTGCGCCCCCCCCACAGCTTTTAAAAGCAACCACAAAGGTTATTTACCTCACAATTGAATTCCATTTCGGCATCCATGGTAATAATCCGAACGGTGAAGGTCTTGGGCTGCTTCCTTTTCAGCGAACTGAAACTCATGCGGGAGGCGATGGCCCCAGCCATGGCGAATCCCCTTAGACTTCACCCTGTGCCAAGGGGGGCGGGGGGGAACCCTGAACCCTTGAGCGGGGTGTGGGGGGAAGGGCAGAGGGGGGGGGGGGGGAAGTGGGAGAGGGTAACTAGGACCACCGACCCACAGTTTAGATGCACAAGCACAAGGCCCTCCGAAGAACCAGCTGGCTCGTCCAGAGTTTTTCTATGAGAAAAAGGTGAGGAGGCGTCCAACTCGCCCCCTTTAACATGTTTCCAAGGTGGGGCTTTGTCCCCTCTGGTTTTCCTCGCTGATGGGAGTCAGAAAGGAGCAAGAGAAAAAGGAAACACGCCCCCACCCCCGACTCTGTTCAAAATGGGGAGGGCACCCTAAATTGCAAAACCTAGACGGGGTTTTTGATAGGAACTTGGGGGGCTGTTATTGGACTGGCACAACTCAGTTGCCCGCTGATGGGTGGGTTTGGCCCAGGAGGAAAAGGGGAGAGTGACACACACACCCCAATTTTATTTGGCAAAGAAAACGCCTGGGAGTCTGAAATCGGGCCAATCTTGACCTGGGTGGGAAGGTGGGCTCCCTTTTCAAAGGCTTTCTAATCCTCTAATATATTTTTTTTTGACGGGGTGGGCAGAAACTGCCCCTCCATGAAGGATTCCTGGGGAGGGGGAGGGTTTTCTGGAGGGCCCGGGAGAAATCGGTCAACCCACTTCGGCCCTTCTTGTTTGGGGGAACCACGGAGGGAAATCCAGAGCCGAAGAGACCTGGTGAGAAAGAAAGAAAAAAAAAGTGGGGTGAATAAGAGGAATAAATGTTCTATGGATTCACAGAAGAGCAGGGAAGCTTTTAGGCCACTTCTCCAAGGGAAACAAGCCTGGATTAATCCCCATCGGTCCTAAGCCACCATCCCGTTTCTGGAACCCCCGGCCAGAAAACCAAGAAGGAGAACAAAATGGGGAAAAAAGAGATGATCAATTTTGCAATTAAATATATAAAGGGGGGGGACCCCAGCAAGTAAAGGGACACTCTTTAAAAGGGGGGAGGGGATTATTGAATTCAAGGGGGGGGGGGGGGGAGGAGGAGGAGGAAATAAAGGGTCTGGGGGCTTCCAGCGACCACCAATCCAGTCTTCCTAAGACTTATTGGGAGGGGAACAGGGCTCTCAATGTCCAGATACAGATATATGGGGGGGGGGGTTTCAAGGTGGCGAGGCTCCTTGTAATTAGGGGAGGGGGGCTTCCTATTGTCAAGGCGTGTGAATTTATAAGGGGGAGGCTGCCATAAAATATATGGGGAAGGGTCTCCAAAGGACAAAGGGCATAACCTGGGGGGCTTTTATGGGGACTATTAGGGGGAGGGGCTTCTATAAGACCTTTTGGGGGGGCAGGCAAAGTTTGAAGGGGGGGTTCTCGCCCGAGGGGGGTCCAGGGACCTTCCCGCGTGGAAGGGGGGCTGGGGGGCCGGCCCCCCGGCCCAAGAAGGGGGGGGGGGCCCGGTGGGGGGGGGGGGGGGCCCCCCCGGGGGGGCCCCCCCCCCCCCCCCCCCCCGCCGTGAAACGCTGCCCTCACCTCGGCCACCACAGCCTAACCTGCCACTCCTCGCCTCTCGCTTCTGATTGGCGGAGAAAGGGGCATAAGCCCGCCTCTGGAGGAGGGGCGCCGCGGTTTTGACCGCCCACTCGGTCCTGGGGGCGTCGGTCCCCGAGCGGGGGAGGACAATGCAGCACTTCCGGTTGCTGAGCGACGGTCGCCATTGGCGGGGCGGTACGAGGCGTCCCCGCCGGACTCTCACCCTCTCCTCCAAAATCTTTGCCGTGCCCAATCTTGGGTTTTTAGAGGCGCCGTTAAAGGTCTCTTCAGGCGGCGGCCGAAGGCGACATTTTCTCTCCCGCGAACCACTACCCTCAGCGCGTTCCAAAAAGAACCGGAAAGGTGGAGGCGGGTGTAACCGCATCCTCTAAGCGAAATGATTTGGGAAGTGACGGATTGGTGGATACGCTTGTCTATCCGCATGAACGGCCCACCCTCTGCAATGAGCATAGACGCGAGGAAGGCAGACTAGAGATGGAGGCTAGAGATGGCGTGGCCTTGAGCGCCCTCTAATGCAAGAAATGGAGAAGGGAAAAAAAGTACACAAAGGAAGTTATGAGGAATGAACTCGTGTTATGCATTCACACAACGCACCGAACCATAAAATAAATGAATGGGTTTCGTTTGCCTGACCCGCTAAGTTATCCAAAGGACCCAACGAATCAAATGAGGGCTGCGAAAATGCAACCAACCGATAGGGGGCAGCAGAGTTTGTGTTTTTTCCATCTCTGGGTTTTTTCCCCTTAGTGGTGATTGGGAAAACTTCAAGCCAGGTCCTCTAATTTTACTTAAGTGAATTGTGCAAAAGTAACAACTGCAAATTATTTGGACAGGAGGGGGGGGTTCGACTAGATGACCTACAAGGTCCGTTCCAACTCTGTTAATCTGTTAAAAAATAAATTTGTGGAGTTTCAACTAACCTGGGTAATGTATTGTGTGAATGAAGCTTGTAGAGTTTTTTTAAATAGTTTATTCTCAATTTCAACTTATTAAAAACAAAGGGGTGTAAGAACAGTTTAAGACCACAAAAAAACAAACCACAGGTGGAGAATTGATTGTGAAGTATAATACACACCCCTTTATTCCAGCTTTAGTCTGGATTTATATGTTTAAATCATAGTTGAATAAATGAACCGTGATTAGCTGGCTTCGAAACGTGGCATCCCTGCACAGCTATGATGTCCAGACCAGGGTTTGCCTCGTTCGCAAAGCCAAAATAAAACTGCCCATTCTGCGGCTTAATCTGCTCTTTGAAGTCAGCACCATCTGGAAGGAGCCTTGCCAGTTTGTTTTGGGCTCTGAAAATACAAAATACTGGCTTTAAATAACATATTAAATGATAAGCAAAAGAAATCTCATTCTGGCTTGAGGTGCAAATCTGGTCAGTGGTCTTAATGCATGAAAAAAAAACAGATGTTCCCAGCTAAAAGCACTTAATTTGCAGCATTTTTAAGCCACGATGTCTCTCCCTCATTAACTTGAAACATCCAGAGGGGGAAAAAAAAGTTTATTTAGTAGCCCTAAATAATATTGAGAAAAAACAAGCACTTTGCTTAGCCAAATCAATCAAAGTTTTGGCAACCACAAACACACAGCAAAGCTTGGTGAGAGTTCACCTTCCTTTATCGCAGTGTGGGGGCAAATTTGCCTGTTTTATTTGCTGACATTGAAACCTACTGTCGATTAATCAATAACTCAAAAGGTAAAATTCAGCAGGTAAGTCAAGCACATTGTAGACATCATGAACCGACCCTTTGAGGTTGCCCGCTGTCTGAAGCATTATGCAATGTGTGAATCCTTGTTAAATAACAAGCTAAGATTATGCAAACCTAACAGCAGGCCAAAAAAAAAAAAAAAAGTTAAAACCCCTAAACTAGCCATTCTCCAGGTCAAGGGGAAAGATTTAATTATTTCCCCAGCGTGTTGAAAATTCTGCCATCCATCGTTTTTGCAAAATGTTCATTGAAACCTAGCAAGCATCCCATTCTGGAGACATCTGCTACTGTGCCCCTCAAATGCCCTTGCCCAGTGCCAGCCTATTATCATCATGGATCATTCCGACATCAGAGATGGCCACCTGATCTGCATTCCTGGCCTGGCTGAAGAAGACTAAGCCAGCTTTCGTTGGCTGGCTGAAGCTACCATGGAGCGTAGCCAGCATAATTTGTGGAGATGTTGTGAACTCTGGTCAGGTCAGCTGCTGTTGTGGTTCACTGGCAGCAGGTGTGGATGGCGGAGGTCTTGGAGAGCGAGGACTCAGGTGAGGGGCCTGCGTGTGATGCAGGGATGGGGCCAGGACCATCAGGGAGTGGAGTGCTGCCTTCGGAGAGTGTGGAGGCTGGCAGCAGTGATAAAGAGGCCCCCGAGGAGCCTGTGCCCAGTGCATGTGTGCGCAGGGCTGCTCGAAGGAAAGAACAGCTGCAACAGGAAGGGCGACTCGGGAGTAAGGCTGCAAGGCAATGGCCCCTCCCTTCAGAGATAAAAGCCAGCTGAGAAACCCGAGTTTTTTGTAGGAAGCAAAGAAGTTTTTGCACTCAAGCCTTGTGGACGTTCGAACTATCTTAGTTTGTGTTTGGAGACTCTTTGTGTTTGAAATATTTCTTGGCAACTTTATCTAGTGTTCTTGGCAGCCTTGCATAACCTTGGCAAGGCTCGTTCTTCTCAGAGACAATTAGTCTGAAACAGCCTTTTAACCGGGAAGGAACGGAATTCATAAGAACAATTAAAAGGTTTTG